TTCTTTTGAGATGAAATATTCTTCATATATTTTGGTTTAACTATGAATATTTTTTCATATTTTAAATTTAAAGTTTCTAGGCAATTTCATGCTTGAATATTTGCGGTGCAGCATTGCATGTGTGTTCTTTCTAAAATGAAATACAACCATAAAATTTGTACATAAATGCGGTGGCATGGACTACACAATCTGACAGCTTTATGCTGAGTTCTGCCATTTGTAGTCCTACATAATTCAAAGTTCTGCAAGAAGTTTTAAAAAAAACTCATTCGAAATTGAATGAAAAAATATCTAAAACTGAAATTGCCATGTCGAGATAGAACTGAAAATTCATACCATAAACGTGCTATGAATGGGAGCTTATATATATTTATATTTTATACTTATTTATTTATACATATTTTTATAAATATAATTTACTTTATATATAAAAAAAATCTGTGCAGAAATACATATGTGTTTCTTTATTTGTGGCAAAGATATTCTTAAACTTGGAGCTTAGATGAAATAATGTAATACATTTTCAACACCAACAATTGTAATATCTTAAGTATATAAAAAATAAAATTGCTTGCATATTTCACAAGAATTTTCATGTTCTGTGAATGTAGAAAATGTGAATGTGGAAATGTAAAAATGAAAATACTAATAAAAATGAAAATGCTAATAAAATTTGATAGTCCAACTGGAAAATTGAGAATGCGGGGGATGTGCGTAATGTACTGTTGCGTTAAAGGCAATAATAAAAGAGTATCTGTTGAAAAAGTAAATAATATACTTAAGATACTTATATCAAATTTTTCCAGTGAAAGAGTTTTAATGGAACGACACACGTGTACAATTCTAAATTTTATGGTCCAACTTTCCTGTGTTAAGAATTTTTTAATTTGATCAAATTTTTCTGTCTTTGTTAGAATATCTATTCTGAGCACAGCACTAGTGAATATGAGTTCCTTTAAACTATCGCATAACATTTGGTTTCAATTATAATTACTTCTTCAAAATTTCCTGATTGCTTCAAAAGTTACTTGATATTGGATATTCAATTTAATAAAATAGGAGTGTGCTAAATTAAACTAATATATTACAGGTCTTATAAGTCTGACAGGTCACACAATAAGTCTGACTAAAATTAAACAAGCGTAGTTATTGTTTGTCTGGAAGTAGGTATATAGTATAATAAAAAGGATCATATTTTTATCATCAGGACAGCTCTCGAGAGCTTTATGTGTCTAATCATCTTAAAGTGCATATTGCATTTTATTACATTTTTGTAATAGTTGTAAACTATTCAAGTCTTATATAAAATAGTTCTATTAACAATTATGGGATTACCGTAATAATATGTGATTATTTTTAAAAACCTGATAATTTGTAAACAGTTCTTAAAAATCACTTTTCTATTGTTATTATTGTGAGGGGATGTGGCACTGCGACGGTCGGGTCTATTATTCCCCTTTTCTGGGTTTAAAGTAAGTCTCTAAGCTCTGTTGCGTCAATAAAAATTAGTATAGAATCTACTTTACAGAGTTTTATTGCCTCTTCCGTTAGAATATATAATATAAGCCTATTCCATAAGCCTATTCCGTATGTGCATTAGCGCATGGCATTCTAAGAGCACATGTGTGGCCGATTCTTCATTCTCTTCACAGAATCTACAGTTTGCTTTCATATGTATACTCAGTTTCGTAAGGTGGTATTTTAGTTTACAGTGTCCTGTTAGGATTTCTGTGATGATTCTAAGTTTTTCTTTTGATAGGTTCAAACAATCCTGGTATCTTTTGTTGTTATAGGTACCAATAAGTGAATTAGATCGTGTTAATTCTGGTATATTACCTCAGTAATCCTTTTTATTCTGGTTCTGGTTTTAAATCCAATAATTGTTGTTCTGTATTAGAATTTCCTAAATAACTACAGTTCATACAAGTATAAATCATGTTAAAATTTTTCCCAAAAAGACATTGTTTTGGGTGTCGTGAAACAATATTTACTTAGTAGCCCTCGTGAAATACTATATGGTTGATATTATATTTTCGTACAGAGCTTATTGAAATGCCAATTGCATATTATGGAATTAGCAAATGTACAAGTAAATAATTGCTTACGTCCTTAGTGAAATTCTGTATATCCTTAGCTGTTCTCTATAGTTTCATAACTGTGTGGATTGGGAGAGGTTGGCTTGTTTATAAGGATATGTTTGTTACTCAAAACATTTACAAATTGATTACTTTTAAAATTTAAATAAAAGATAATGAAGTGAAACAAGTGCAAACATATTAATATTACATAAAGTTAATATTTAGTTTGTTTTTATTGTACAGTAAAAGTGAATAAAACAATTTTCAATCAATTTAAAATATTTTCACTCATTTTAAAACAATTTGAAAGAGACATAAAAGGACTTCAACAGCTTCAACATTTCATTACTTCATTATTATTTTAATATTTATTTTCAATATGATCTTTTTGCTGTGACCAATTTTATATTTGGCAAAGTTGTACGTTGCAGATAATCTCCATCCGAGACTCTTGAAACTCAGCCTAAGTTATTACAGCAATTTGGGAAATTGTTAGCAAATATTCTCGTCATGTTGCCAAGTGTTAATATTCTGCTTTGTTTCTAACAATAAAAATACAATGGCTGTTTCATTACTTATAGAAATATATCTTCCATTATATTCCTTTTATTGTGTGTACTTGTGAGGCTTGCATAATATTTATAAGTAGAATACATGATGTCAGATTTAATTTTCCAGCAGACGCATTTCCACTTAGGATAGCAGCAGAGAATCCATGCCGGCAAAACAACGTCAACATCATCATTATCATAATAAATTTTCCTTTGCATAAAGAATCCAGAGCGAAGACAATGTTTCCTTCCGGTTTTTATTACGTTCTTATGCATAGTATGAGTCCAAAATGGAAGTTGCAAATATAAAAGCAACTAAAACAAAATTGTTATTGTGTCTAAAACATGAAACGCTATATATTATATCTAAGCAAGCTGTAATCGGTGCTATGTAAGGATTAATTTTAAAACCATATATAAAACCATGTCATATACATACTTATATAAGAGGAAAAGGTTGAAGTTATAGAAAGAAAATCTTAATAATAAGAAAAAATGGAAAAATAATAGATAATAAAAACAATTAATCCAGATTAGTAGTTAATCATCATTAGCTCTTATCGTATGAATAGCTCATAAGACGAAATCTTATTTTAGCTCAAAACAGTGTAGTAAAAATGGGTACTTTCAAAATCCCAAAAAGGAAAAGGATATAACTAAAAACAAAAACAAGAAAAATGAGTAGTTTCATCTACATCGTATATTCCTTTATTTCGTCTATTATCAATTGTATTTATCTTAAATTTATTGCCATTCAGCATTACGGTTAGTTGAAAAAAATAAAAAATAATGTACATAAGTAAAACAAGAATGATGTAGATATAAATTATAATACATCCTCTCAGAAGATTAATCTGTCAAAATCTACAAATCATTTCTTTATTGTTCGATCATGCAAAAACACTTGATTTTAGTTTATGTTGTGCCATTGTTAACGTAGCCCAAGCTATACTGGAAAGCAAATACATATGTGGATAAAAAAACTTACACTGGAGAATAGGTTGATGACAGTGAAAAGGTGTAATGTAGGTTATACCTACTACACGTGAGAATGTTGAACGCAATCTATCTTTAGATAAAGAAACTTTGCCCCCCTCAACGAGGTGCAACTATAAATTGATATGGACCGAAAGAACGACGACGTCACTCGATGTAGAGCTTTAAAGGCACAACATTTGTCTAAATCCCTATTTAAATTTGATTGTAATAGTTCTTGCTGTACTTGGGAGAAGTTTTTCATTCCCAGAGATTTCATGAGAAGGACTTATGAGGGTCTTGTTGGGAAGCTACTGAAAGATACCGACAATATTCGACTCTACTGATGCCATCTTTTTTGCGGTACATGGTTTAAAGTCATATTACGAGGAGATAGATTTCTATTAACTGTGACGCGATTTGAATCTCTTTCTGTATGGAACGAAAGCAGAAAATGTTCAGACAATTGTACTCTTAAAGAGTCTGTATAAAAATGCTAGTATGTTATATGAGATGGCAGTCGATTGAAGTGGTTAAATTTGAACATTTGACATGATTGGATGTTGTTCCAGTGCTACTCCTACAGCTGTCTACTGCTCTGCCTAGAGCAACTACTGCAGTTGTTTTATGTGAGTTTTTTTTACGTTAAAAATGAATTGCTCTTTGGATTTTACACAAATAATTTTCTTAAGTATTGAAATCGATTTTATTCTATACAATTCAGTCTATGACAGACACCCGTTGAATTTTGAATGTTTGAGTACTTCGTTACTCCATGCTCATTAGGCTAAGGAGCACACAACACGTGATATATTTAATTTCTGCATGCAATTCCTTGTGCTCCTAGTAGTTAGTGCACGGTGGAAGCACTTAGGTTAGCTATGAAATGAAACAATAAAAATGTTGAAGTTTTGAGCATATTATATTGCAGTGAAAAGTAGACTTTACTATTATAATTTTTTAAATTTCTCAAAGCGTAAAATGAACTTTTAATGAATGTATATCCTGCACTTAAGTGTTTTAAAATCGTTATGGTTTTCCTTGCCATAAAACCGAATTTGGATTTTTTTCTTATAATTGTTTTGGCGACTTTAAATCCAGTCCAAGGATACTCCACTAAATACGTAAGAACTAAAACTTTGAAAGGAAACGGTTTCAAACAGGTCATACAGCTTAGAGGAAGTTGTGGCTTGTTAGTGTTATTTTTCTGTAGTAAAATTATTTCTAATTTTTGATATTCCTGTGGTTTTAAAATTCTAAATGTAGTAAAAATTCACTCTATTCGGAAGCTTTATCACTTAAATACTTCTGTTACTGTTTACTACCATTAGTTTTGAAACAAAAATATCTTCAAATACATGCAGTATTTTTACTTTAATAAAATTGGAAAACATCATTTTTGAATTTTTTAGGTTTTTATTCACAGTCGACCTTTTGTTTACTGTAATTTATTAATATATTTGCCAAAGGTACAGCGATTTTATTCTTCTTTTTACTTTTAAATGAACTTATTAATTGACTAAACGGTATTTGATTGCACGGAGTATTGGGTATTTGTCGCCAGTGCAGGAGCCACGGAAATCATCATAAGCCAAGTCGAACAAAGCGACACCGCCTAAGTTTTGTGTACGCACATATGATGCCTTATCAGCTGCGGTATCGGGATCTTCATACGCTACCCATATACCGTTTTCACCTTTCTTATCAGCAGCGCGATAAGCATATACACCATGACGCCTTGTGGAATCGAGTACTCGTGAAAGTGGTGCATTAGCTCCCTTACCATAAGCATTGTTAGGATTTGGCAATAAGGCACATACTTCAGGCCAGCTGTAGAAGCCTTGTGTTACTGTGTTAGGTCCAGTTGGTGCGGCGTTTTCTACTTTATTAATGGGTGGTACGCCAGTATCGCCAGAATCATCAGTCATCTTCCAAGCACGCCCGTAAGTGGCAATGCCTACATTAATTTTATTAGCAGGGAAACTATTTCGAATCCAATATTGTACTTGGTAGTTGAGATTAAATTCTGGATTACGATCAGGCAATTCATAAAGTGGTGCTGGTAAATCAGCTAATTCGGGATTGCGTTCTGGTGTATAGAAATCAAAAGTTCCGAGGTTAACGAAGTCAATGTAGCTAGACAAGCTAGGTACATCATAAAACACTGTTAATAAAACATTATTAATTAACGTAAAAAACTACTAATATGAAGCACTTACATGAAGAATTAACATTCGGCAATACTGTAGCTGACAACAAGAAATTATCTGTACGGAATTCGTTCTTTAAGTCACGTAGCAACGCAGTGTATTGTTCCTTGTGTGCATCAGCATTTTCATCAACAATAAAATCACCGGTGAAGACTTTCTTGAAACCTTTCCAGAAACTGCCTATACCACTGTGTACTTTCTTTGGCTTATTTTTGGGGAATTGCCATGCCATGTCCAAACCATCGAAACCATATGTTTTAACCAAAGCATAGGCAGTATTAATAAAACGTGCACGTCCTGTTGGATTCTCCAAAAGATCCAAATATTTGTTTGTCAAATCTTTAGCATCTTCCCCAGTTTCAATATCTTTGTCGCCGCCAATACTGAGTAATATTTTAAGATTGGGATATTTGCGCTTTAGACGTGTTACTGTACGATAAAGACCTTTACCCAAATCTAAATCAAGATTTTGATTCAAGCTGATGGCCTTATAGGTTTCACGCTCAATTCCTGCATAGCCATAGACTAGATAGGTACAGAATTGTAGTGATGGTTCCAAATCATCAATAATAAGCTTCCCAAGACCTGTATAAAGATAATATTGAAAACGTATTAATTTAGCTTGAATTCTAATTGTTATTATAAATTAAAATTTGTGATTGTATATAACATTTGATTGGACTAGTAGAGCTAGTTTATGTATAGATGAAAGTAAAAGAGGTTTTTTCAAAACATCATTTAATGAAGAAATGAAATTAATTAAGTTCGGTAGACACTAAGGTACTCTCTTGCAGCGTAAAGTATAACTACTTTATTTTGTTAATATGTTATTTAAAATTGTTAATTAACCCTTCAGTTAATTGAATATTTATGTGTAAAATAATGCATATATATATCTATATGTATTACAACAACAATAAAATAACATTTACTTACATTCATACTTACAATAGCAATAAAACCAAGATTAAAAACAAATCATATTTAAAATATATGAGAGTATGGTATGCTTAACGATATATAACAAAACTTATATGATTCATATGTGTATATAAATCTATATATGAAATGGCAGTGGAGAATAGCAAAACTTATCTCGTGTTTCTGAATTAAATTCTTATCTATAATTAGTAGCCAAAGCAACTCATAAGTACAGCCATAGAGTTTCTTTATAATTTATAGAGTAATTTCGTCTTGATAATTACTAGAATCAGATTACAATCAGATCTATATTTTTAGCGAAATCCAAAAAAAAATCTTAAACATAATTTACTAAAACTGAATTTATGTTTCTTTGAATAAAATTTAAAAAATAAAGTGCTAAGTGACTGCACTAAAAACACGTACGTAGACGAGGAAACTTTCTGTAAACAACTTCTCCATCAACATTTTCAATATTATAATAAAATAATTAGTGACTTATCTTCCTTAGTGAATTTTTTAATTAAATTAATAATTAAAATTATTCTTTAAAAATATTTAGTAATTTAAAAAAAAAAAATACAGTTTAGATTTCACCTAGAAAAAAGCACTGAGTTCAGGCGAAATTGATAAGACTTTCAGTCTGCTTCCATTGTTTGTTCCACAAAAACTTGATAATAAGTCTTTACAGTTAAAATCTGAGCAGCTTCTCATAATTGACCCAGTTCATATAATAGGTGGACTTTAACAAATATTTGTTGTTTTATTATCATAAATTCGTTTCTTAAAAATAACATTAACACTTTTCATTTCACACTTCGCAATCCAATTTTTAATATTAAAATTGTTTACTTTGTGATTTAATAAGCAATTTGTATGTCGCCATTAGCACATCATTATCTCCAACCGTTGTATATTTTCTTTTTTTTTTTTTTTTGTTGAATCCAAATGCTTCATTGGAAGATTACGTAATGCATACTTAATTCCAGTAAATCTGACGAGATTATTTTTATGTAGCTTGTATTTGTTAAATAATAAATTTTATATAATACACGTATATAAAAATTAACTTAAATGATTTAAATGATTTAAATTAATGACTGTATCTTTCTGGAACTCACCTTCTTTCACAAAATTGGAGGAGTCATAATAACAGACTAGATGTTTCTGTGGCACTTGTTGTTGTGGTGGTCCAACCTTTCCAGCTAATGCAACCGCCAATAAGAGTGAAAATACTATTAGGATTTTCATTTTACTCTATATAAAAGTTATAACCTCTTCCCCTCTTCGCAGTATTTATTCACCGTTTTTGCTTTTTCGAAACGAGTTACGATCTTCGCGGCTCCACGTCAAAATTGAAACTGAAATGATCTGTGCGTTGCGCTTGAGCTGGTAATCGAAGGCCGCAAAAACTGAAATCTATACTTCAGAGCTTAGACAACAACAAAAACAAAAAAATTATAAAACCAATAAAAAAAATATTTTAATTTAATTTATTTAAAAATTTTGTGTTCTTTGTTTTTATATTTACGTTATACTATATGTTATCATATTATTTTGGTACTTTTTCCTTGTTTCTTAGCACTACTTTTCTTGAAAGCCTACTTACTATTCGAGAATGAGAAATTTTGTATAATATTTTCTAATTGTTCTTATTCTCTACAGCTTTAGCGGTTTTTTAATCACCTTTCGTTTTTGTTCCTTCTTATATATACTTTTCTCTCTAGTACTGCAACTTCTATAATGATATTTGTTATTGCTGTGAAGTTGTAGGTGCATATATGCATAATTATGAATACAAGTTAAAGTCAAGTTAGCCATATCAAGTGATATAAATCAATACTGCTATTAAATTAATTCGCTGTTATGGAAAAATGAAAAAAGTATTATTCAAAATTTATTTTAATAAATTTATTATTAGTTTTAAGCATAATAAACTTACCTATTAACTTATAAAAGTAACTAATGTATTATTATTAAATAATAGGCTATGAATGCACCCTGACCTAAAATATCTATTGTGCGCCTAAAAGCCCAATTAAAACAATTCTAGACTATTTATAAATGTCGTTAATGCTGTGGGCTTAATTTTAACTATTTGATTTGGGACTAAAATCTCGCTTCTAAGGTAGTCAAGTCTACGTCTTGCCGCATACCTAATTTAAAGCGATACATGATATATTAATCAAACTTTGACTTATTCTCGAACATATTGAGAACTACAGATATTGTGCTATGTGCTATATATTAGTAGAATTAACACTTTATGAACTCTGTATTATTATCAAGTAAAACCAGGCTATCTACATTTTCTAGAGAACATCTAATTTCAAGAGAAACACGAATTTTGTTATTGTTACTTTAACAAAACTCATCTTATCAACAATTTCAATCTTCTATGCAAAGAGAATAATATAACATTGGTCAATAAGTTTAAAAGATTAGATATATATGAAGTCATAAGTGACAAATTATGAATTATGATTTTTAAAGACTAACAATGAGTTTTTTTAATAATAGTTATTGTTAATGTGTTATCTGAAGTCCGATATCAAATGTTTAGGGAGTGGTTTAGGAAGAACCGTTCTAAGAAATGCTGCTTCATCAATAATGAATTTTTATTATATATGGAACTTCTTTAATCTATTTTGCCATGTGGACAGAATGGCTTAATCAGTAACGTTTTTCGCTCTGCTAGCACAAATTCGACAATTATCAGTATAATAAATAATTGCTTTTAATGGACATAATATTTCAATTATATATAATAAATATTATAAATTATAATAAATAACAACAATTATAATATATATTATTATAACAATTATAATATATATTATTATAACATTTGCTCAATGCTATATGAATTGTATAATAATAAATTGATAACTGTAGCGTACTTTACTACCAGTAATACCTCTTCAGTTTTCAATGATCATTAAGTTAAGTGACTTGGTGTCTCTTTTCGGTTCCTTTTCTAATTTGTTGTTTAATTTGTTTTATTTTTTGACTCGTGCTCAACTCTGGAAACTGTAATTTACTGTACTATTTCTGAGACAAGGCACTATTCCAAGTTATTGCTGCTGTTATTGTTGTTGTAGTGCTGGTGGTTTTATTTTCGTTGATAGCGTCCGTCTTGAAATCAGAGATGTGTCAACAATATATGTAGGCTTGACCTCTTCTTGATTAGAAATTCAATATGATAATTGTTGATTTGCTCGCTTGGTCACAAAACACAAATAATATTTCAAACAATAAATTTACATTTTATTTGCATTTTAGTACATCCGAACATATGTACATATTATATAGCTGTGTTTATGGGTATGTCTGTATGTAAATGTTTAGCTTAATGCAAATATAAATTAAATTTTGCTGGTAGCTTTAATTGCCTCGACAATTTCTTTATGACTTTTCATGTTTTATGCTAAAATCTGATGAATTGCTCTTATGGGTTTGTCGTATTACTTTAAATCCGAAACTGGTTTTCTGCTCAAACCTCAAAGTTTTCATGGATTTCAAGCTCAGACGTGCCGGTTGATTAGTGTTTTTATAAAATAATAAAAAAAATTATATGAATTAATATTATTTATTTTATGTACAACAATATAATTGTTATTGTTTGTTTTATGTGGAAGTTTAATAAAAATAAATGGTCTTTGAATGAATTAATATGCTATTTTTAAAAAAAATTTTTCCTAAGAATATTGTATTTTACATGGTTTAATTTAAAAATAATAAAACAAAATAACACAAAATTAAATAAAATCAAGGTTTATTTATTATAGACATTAATAATGTATTGTTTGTTAAAATCGCAACATTTAAATATAAGAAAAATTGAGAATTGGAGCTATCAAAATAGTGAAAGAATTATGATGTATCAGAATTATAATACATGAAGAACTAAATCATTCTTAACAAAAAACGACAATAAGAATTTAATAGGCAATACGAGTGAAGCTTCTAACATTGCACGGAATATGAACATTAAAAAAAAAGGATTACCATTATCTTCTCGTCAAACATTACTCGGTTTGGAAAAAGTTTTATTGTCTTTGACGATGTTCTTAAATTTGAATACCGCGATAGTATATTATCTATTAGAACATCAAAAATATTGAGCTTTATGTTAAAATTGAGATTGTGGGAATAAAGTAACACTTTATAGCTGCAAAACTCTTTAAGAAAATATGATTTGATAAATCTGGTGACTAAAGACTTTTTAAAGAGTAAGGCGCAGAATATTACTTAGCAATCCTACAAATACTTGAATGAGAACAGTTGAAAATGTTATATTGGAGACGTTTTATAAACTTTTAATGAATGGGTAGGATATTATGGAAATAATATGCGAATACTTGTAGAATAAGTTTTCAAACTAATTCGTTCTTAATTATATTTTATATTTTATGAAACAGTTTTAAAAGTTTTAAAGTCAATTATTTATTAACAAAATAGTGTAATAATAAATAGTGTTTTAGTTATCTCGAAATCCTTGTGTATGTACTAAACCACAACAAATCAATGTATACAGTTGTCGCTTCACTCTTCATTTTGATTTGTTTAAGATAGGTCCTACTTCTCCAACTCTTAATTGCTTTACATGTCTTTAAGTGGAGTTTACAGGCAAAATTATCGGCAGAAAATATGATAAACACGAAGAAAAAGTAAACCAGTATGTGTCTTATGTTAATATATTCTGTTGGTCTCCCAAGATCAAAGAAACTTGTGGACCTCATATTGTTAAATTGTCTAAATTGATTTTATTTGGAGCAAAAAAAGCTTCTAAAATTATATGAGCCTGCACTTATTCTGCAATATATAGTAATCATTGAAGAACTGATTCTTATATTAATATTTTTAAAAAGGTTAAACTGTTGCCATGGATCTATTGGCATCGGTTCATTGATTTGAAGTTTTAGTTCAGTTATCCACATTAGTTCTTATAAAACAAGAATTATAAGAATTAAAAAATATATATTATTTTTAAAAGAAAACAGTATAACCACTGTTATTAGTTTATATAAACAAAACTTCCAGATGATTTCATAATCCTTTGCTAATTTGTTGAATTTGCTGATGAATCAAATGAACGAGGGAATACTGTTATTTCATTAGCTCCTTATTTTCTGTTTATTCATTTATGTTGTTTTAAGATATTTCACATTTTTATTTGGTTTTTACTTTTTATTTGGTGTTTTAATTCAATTACCCAATTACTGGGTCAATGGTTTTGTACTCAATACTTATAATCGAAGAGCAAAATCAATTGGCATATACCCCAGAGAAAAAGCCACATTAATAAAGAACTGAACATAAATAAATACGAAAATAAAAGTAAACATTTAAATATATATAAATATGTACAATTTCATTTATGAATATAAGTTAATAATATAATATACATATGTATAAAACAATAACGTTACAATAATAAATAAACAATCTCATATAAACTAGTTCAGACATGAATTGCATTTAATATTCTTTAATTCAATTATTTTATCAAGATTTGCACTCATATTTTTATAAAACTAAATAAATTAAAATAAAAAAAAAATAAATATTTAATAGAATAGAAAATTAAAATTAAAAATTATTGAGGGACCACAAACTAACCGCAAGTTAAGCCAACTGTGAGATTGCCTATTTGCTTTTCTCTGCATTGGAAAGTTTACGGAAAGTTTATTAAAAGCAACAATAAAGTAAGAAAAAGAAAACTTATCAATCATAGCGGCAAAGTTACCAGGGCTGCACGACAAGCTAGAAAATTATAAAATAATTGCAAAATCTCGAAAGGTTAGCAACATTAAGCCAAGCCAAGTACTTTGTCTTCATCAAGGAGAAATTTGCCTGTTGATGGCTGCAAATTAAAACTGGCGCACTTTACTTATTAATCCTTGCAAAAGCAGAATGGAAAATGGGAGAGGAAAGTGGGAAAATGGGAAAAAGAAAATGGCTTAACGGAAGGAGGCATAACATGAAAAGTACAAAAATAAAGATTAAACGAAAATGTTGAGGAAAATTGCTTGTTGGTTTTAACCCTTTATGTTGTAATTCGGTTGGGCCAAGCAAAAGGCCTTAATTAATTTTAATTAATGATTGGTTTCTTTCCCTTGCATAAATTTGCTTTAATTTTTTACAAAGAGCAAATAAGTTATTTTCAAATGAAAACATACAAAAAAAATAAAAATAACTTGAGCAATGGAAGAATTTAGTAGTTCTTTCAGGAAACACAATATCGCACGTTTACACCCTTCCTTGAGCAGCCAAAAGGAGGATTTATTGGCTTAACACTTTGGCAAATTTTTACTTCACAAATTGCTGGCGCTCGCTTGTTTGCTTCTTGAATGAGTTTTTCTTGAAAAAAGAAT